CGCAATGAAGGTAACCTAGGCCCCCATATATCTCATCATGGCTCCCTCTCCACTGACCCGAGACATCTTACATATCCACAAGGTCAAATCATAATTTTGTCATTTCGCAAAATATACATTGCCAAGGAACTTGACAAAAACTCAAAGGCAAAATGCACTTGAGTCTGTAACAGTTTCAAGCACAGGCTGGTTAGAACTTTGAAAGGACACGATGGACACAGGGATGAAGGAAGCCGGCAACTGTGATAGCCTAGATCAGGGAACTAACTCCAACATGCAGCAGGTAGGGGCACTCCGTGGCTATGGGACAGAGGTAGAAAATTAAGACCTAAACAATATCCTTCCAGACCCTGGAGAAATCAGCCAGCAGAACTAGATGGAGGAAGTTCTTTTGGGTATCACTGACTTTTTATTCCGGATCTTGTCAGCATGTCTGTCTGAGATAATTGACCTCTTTCAGTCAGTGTGCTTTTCAGATGTGCTGTGCTTTCTGCACAAATTATCTGAACCAACACCCCAGCCTCTCATTCAAATTAGTTGAAAACAGTGAATTAGACTCTGTCTTCTACAAGTGCCTTAGCAGATGAAAACTGTGAGTAAATTCTGAGTTTCTTAGAAGCAGATTCCTTGAAATGAATGTATTCTGAGACAGGACTGGGTGGGGACAGATGTTCAAGTCTTTTCTGCAGAACAGAAACATGAAGACAGTGAGCAGCATGACCCCAGAGGGCTGTCAAGGTCTCAAGATCGTTGAAAAGTGTTTGCCTGGTTGCATTGCTAAAGCAAGAATGAACCCAGCTAGCTTGTATGTTAAGGTAGTGTGCATTTGGAGTTTGAACCATTTTTTGCCTTCTCAAGGTTAGCAGGTCTTGCATGCAACGTATCCACACGCATTCAAGAACCATAAGAAAGTCACGCCTGTGGGAAACTCTGAAGTGTCACTTTGTTCCATGCAGGTAACCATCAACATTTTATCCAATCACTTTCTTATTTTTGTTGTCTCATTTCTACCTTCCTGGGGTTCTACCCCTAACACTCCCTGATAATTCCCCAGCTTTCCCAATGTACACTTCTTTTAAAACACACAAAAAAGGGGGGGAATCATGAAATAATCTTGCCCAAGGCAAAATTATTCCCCCCCCCAACCCTTTCCTTCCAGACTTCTGTATTTGGAGTTAAAAACAAGCCGACTCAGTTTAGATCAATTCATAATTGGGAGCCCATAGCACTTCAAAATACTGAGTGTTGAGAGGATCCTGATGCTTAGGAACAGTTCTTCACTCGCTCAACTCTGGAGTGGTCCTGTCACAGCGGTGTTGACCTGGGAGGGAAGCAGAGCTCTCACGGTTCATAATTCACTTCTAGTAGGAGAAAGGCCAAGGCAAAGTTTTCCCTGGCCTATGCTAGAAATAAGAAAGTTAGTTGAGAGATGGGCTCTGCAAATGAGTTGCCTCCTAATATCCTCCCCTTCTCCTGATGACATATACTCAGGCTCTGCTTCTCTGAGCATCCTCCATTACCCATCATCTTCCCTACCCACCTTCCTTCACACTTCCAGTCCCGTACAGGCACCTCAGACTTCACCAACTGTGTCTACAGCATCTTAATAGCTTCCTGACCCATCTGTTAATTAGCCATTTTAAAAAAGAAGCCACACAGTTCCTCCTTAGAGTGATTCTTATCTCCAAGAGAGACATTAATGAATCAACTCATGGTGAGGAGGAGGAACAGGTTTCAATATGAGACAGCTAAGGGCAGAATAGAATGTCAAAATGGACCAGCCTCCTAGGCTGGACGTTGGGCAGAGCCCATATTCCTGGAGGACAGGGGGCTTCATTATCTGGGCAATCAGCCCCAGGTAACAACTACAGAGACACTCAGGAAACAGGACAATTAGTAAATGTCTACAGTTCCGATCTTAACCTGAGAAGTTCTAAAGCAGGGGCAAGAAGAGAATATAGCTTCTAAAATAAATAGAGTTCCAGCCAGGAAAGGTGGGACACCCCCACTCAGAGCCAGCATCACTTTCTTCTCCCCAGAGCCCAACTTGCTAGGCATGGCTATGTTTGCATCCTTTCCACTGACTTGTCTGTTAGAATCACCAGAGAGCTGGCTATTTCCCCTCCAGACACTTACTTCTCATTCAGAATCCTTCTAGCAAGGGCTACTCACTTCTACAAAAAGCAAAAACTGTTCTTCCCTGTAAGGGAGGGAGAGATGCAAAAAAGTCCATCCATAAGGAACATGCATGTGTATGACAGACAGAGGGCTGCCCAGCCCGAGAACACCAAGGCAGAGCAGATGGCCAGTCCCTTCTTCCATCTCTCCTCAAACTCCCACAGTATCCCTTTGCAATGAGGCTTTTCTCACTGAAACTCCCTCGGACTCAGGAACGCTTGGCCCAGGGAAGGAAAGGACTCAGGTCTGCCTGTCTTCAGGAATGCTCACACACTGCAAGAGCTGCACTATTTCCAAGAGCACCGAACTGAAGTTCATCCTATCTCCCGGCTCGACCTCTGACTGGGAGCTCCCTTCTTTCTCCCCACTTGACCTAAGAAATACCATTACTGTGTGAACACATATCTCCTCCATCACTGCCCCTTTCCCCTACCTTGCCTCTCTAAGGACACGGACTACATAACCAGTGTGGCAAGCAGTGACTTCTGAGGTACAGGCAGAGAAAGAGGAGCTTCTTCCCACACCCACCCAAAGTTACATTCGAGGGTGATGTGGGCACTCCCAATGACACACTTGGAAGGAAGTGGTCCAGATGATGGGCTATCTTGCCAGCTACCCAGAACCGAAAAAGATTTTCCCCTGACCTGCTCAAGGTTACTCTTGAGTGTCCTTAAGTGTCACTCATTGCTGTGAGTGTCACTCATCTCTGATCTCCAGCCCAGCTCCCCACCCACTACATATACACTGATAGGCATTGTCCCCTGCCCACCCAGCACCAGTGTGATGGTTTCCAAAGCACTGATCAGGCGAGGCTGCAGCTGCTGGAGAGGTGCTGTGAACTGAATGAAATCAGGAGGTGAATTTGAGGGAGAGACATCACATATTTACATAATGGTCTGGGGCCTGAAATTCAGTTCTTTCCCCCACTGTTCACTCTCTCCTTCTCCCACTCCAGAAACGGCCCCAAGAGTGCCACCATGGTTACCCCAAAGTGGGACAGAGGGAGTATATGGGGAAGAAGAGATCAATGCCAAGAGCAGTGACTTCCCCAGAGCAACATGACAATGTTGTTTTTCACAGGGGCTCGATCTCAGACTCTGAGGCCACAACCTTATCAACCACAGGTGATGTTGAACAAACTGCACAAGGCACCGGGGACAGGACAGGGAGAGACCCCAAGAAAGGTTTGTAAGGATCAGCCAGAAAGAGGTAAGAGCCAGGGTGGGTTTGATGAGACAAGAGGAGGCAAGAGGAGATGAGCCCCTGAGTCCTGGGGCAGAGGTAGCAGATGAGGAACAACAGCACATCTGTTTCAGAAAGGCTCCTGCCCCTGAGCAATTCCTTCTTTGCCTTCCAAGCTGAGCCAAGAGAAACCCTTGGAAGTGGTAGTGTCTTGTTCTTGCTTTGCTCATAGTGAGGCAGGGAGACCACAGACCATTGCTCGCATTCCTAGTTCAAGTCTAAGGGGATGCTGAATAAGCCTATGCTGAGAGCAGCCAAAGGAAGAGTGGCTAGCTCGGGAAATGAGGGGTTAAAGGGGGATGCTCCCCCCTACAGTCAACCCAAGTCTAGTACTTGAGTGTAAAATGTCTGTATTTAGTGGATTTGAGTCAATAAAACCTGACAGGGAATATCACCTTCTCACACCCACATTATTGAGGGGGAGAAGAATGAGTTCCTTCAGCATGCCTAGAAATTTCTACCTGCCTTCCTCTTTTCAGCAAGGTAGGGGTGATTAATATTCAGAGCAGTGAAGGGAGAAGGTTCTCAAGCCATGAGGATAATAAGCAAGGTTCATGGGCCAGGCGAGGCTTGGTGGGTCAACTCACAAGCAGTGGACTGGGGGCTGGGCCTGGGAACTAGGGCAGTGCCCGCTCTGTGTGCCAGAAATGGAAGTGTTTCCTGGGGCAGGGCTTTCATTGAAGCCACATCCAACCATTCATCTTCATGGGGACACTGGATGCATAGCTGACTTCGCATCCTCTGCATGTACAATTCCTAAAGGAGAGACTGGGTTCCTGATGTGGCTTTGACTTTCCAGTGATCTCTCTGGGAGCCAGAGACAGGGGTGGGAAGCAATCAGAGTGGAACTGTGGAGTGTCAGGTTTCAAACTCCTTTTATAAATTTTGAAAGGGGACAGTCCCCACTGTCTTCATCATGTGTGCAGTAAAACATGCCCAACCGGGCTGAATACCATCCAAAGTGTTAACTCAGAGAGGCCTGCCTTGGAGGACCAAGACCTCCAGCCTCAGCAGTAAAGATAAGCACCCCACTGGAAGACATACATACCATCTGCCCTTGATCAACACAACATGGGGATCCTTCCTTCCCAGGAGAGGCAGCTACCCTTTCCATGTCATCCCGCTCTTAACCCCTGGGAATACCCAGGTTTACACTAATGCATTTGCTCTTCCTTTCAATGAGGTGCTCACACTGCTCAGTTCTTTATATTAAGGTGGCACTCCACTTCAAACAAACAAAAACCTAAGTGTGGTACAACCCATAGTAAAGTGGTCACACACCATGAAAAGGAGAGCCTGGAGATTGGAAAAAATTTGTGAAATTCTTATCCTTGAACATCACGAACTCCATTGATTCCTACTTTTGTGTTTCAAATACCTCTCACACTAGAGCTTGCCTAGCTGCTTCCTACTGAATGCGGGAGAGCCACAAGATTTATTGCTCTTAGAGGAAGCGACTGTAGAAGTGATTTAAAAGGTCAGAAGAGGTGTGCATAAAGAGGACTGGACGTGGGGGTGGGGTTGTTTAAGAGGGGGCGAGGCCTGGGAACCCGAGGCAGGCACCCAGCAGCGCCTCTCACCTGTGGATGTTCATCTCTCTAGGTGGGCGGTGGGCCTTGTCATAGGAGACCTTGGCGAAGACGCCCGCTACGATGACGAAGGCGATCACCCCGCAGGTAATGTAGACGGTGAAGTTGGTCTTGTCCTTCTCCGGGTCGTACTTGTTCTCGGGCCCCGGCGACACCACCTTGGTGCTGGGCGTCTGCACCCATACTGGGCTTTGGTAGTTGGTACACTGGCGCTGGTCCAGCTTCTCGTGGCGCTTCTTGCAGCAGAAGCGATAGTAGCAGGTTCCGCAGCAGTACAGGTAGCCGCTCTCGCTGTTGTTGCATTCGAACTCCTTGTCGTACTGGCCGCTCACGTCGTAGTAGCCCCAGCACGTCTCGTAAGTGACGGTCGCGCTGGCCGCCGCCGCCGCCGCCGCGGACTGTCCCCGCCGGCTGCCCGCCTCCGGGACGCCGGACGCCCGGGCGGTGCTGTTGAGCTCGCGGCCGCCGCGGGCTAGGGCGCCTCCGGAACGCCGACCTCCGACGGCTCCCGCGCCTAGGGTCCGGTTAGCCGCGCGGCCGCGGGCGGCGTCTGCGCCGGGCGGCAGGTGCAGGGACGAGAGCGACAGCAGCAACGACAGCAGCAGAGGCGGTAGCAGGAGGCGGCGCAGCGCCATGGCGGGGCCGGGCGGGAGGGCGCGGGCGGACGCGGGCTGCAGGCCGCTGCCCCAGCGGCTGGCGGAACTCCGAGGGCGGCCGCGCGGGCTGGCTGGGCGAGCGACGCGGGCCGGTCAGCGGCGGGGCGATGGCGCCATCGAGGCGCGGGTGGCGGCGGGAGCGCACGGAGCGGCGGGGCGCAGGCTGCGCCGGGCTCTCAGGCTGCGCGCCGGCTCCGCGCTCCCCCTGCGGGTTCCGCGCGCCAGGCGGACAGCCCCATCCCCCGCCCGCGGCAGCGGCGGCCCCGCGCGGCTCGGTTCAGGCCGGCCCCGAAGCGCTGTTCCCGGAGGCGGCGGCGGCGGCGTGGTCCCGTCCGGGCAGGTCCTGCGGGACGAGACGGGGCAGCGGTCACGGGGTGCGGGGAGCAGCGGGGAAGGAGTGTGCAGCCCTCGAGGAGTGCGTCCTGGCTGGGACGGTGGCCCGAGGGTACACGGAGAGCCCCTGCGGGAGGCACCCGGCCCACCGGCTCGGTGCGGTGCAGCCTGCTGAGGTTGGGGTCCGGCGGGCAGTCGGGGAGCACGGCGGCTACACCTCAGTCACTCACCGTGCCGGGCTGCGACTGCAGCGGCGGCGGCTAGGCGGGAGCGCAGCGGCGGGAGCGAGTGAGCGAGAGAGCGAGCGGAGCCGGGAGCCGCCTGCACTAGTGCCGGAGCGTGTGCGATAGGCGAGAGGGAGACACACGCACTCACACAGCAGCACACGCGGGAGCGCCGCGCGGGGAGGGCGGGGAGGGAGGCCAGCCGCTCGCCGCCGCCCACGTTTCCACGCCTGGGCGCCCGGGTGGGGGACGGCAGGGCTCCTCTTTGCCTCTTCCCCTGTCTCTGCCCAAGCTCAGATTCACCAAAGCCCGAACCAACACCGCGCACTAAGCTGGCAAAGAGGGAGCTCCCTCTGCTCCCCACTTCTAATACCCCGAAGCAGGACCAGAGTGAGCTCTTTGGAGCCAGCCGGCGGCAGGATCAGATGTCCTCTGACATTGCCCTTTCAGCCCTCCGGCTCAAGTACCCCCACCACCACCACCACCACCACCACCACCACCACCACCACCACCACCACCACCACCACACATGCACAGCTTACCTTAGCCTGGTCTTCGCGCTGCCAGAAAGCGAGTTGGGGTTTCTGCAAGCCTCTGCCTCTCCCTAGTGGTGATGCTCACAGCCAAGATAAGAGGTCAAACCCATTACTACAGGTTCCTACACTGAGGCCAGGGGTCAAGTGGCTCTTGGGCCACCAAATGCCCAGAATCTAGGTTCTTTTCTCCTTCATTTCTCATGCAGATATGAGATGACTACAGCAATGGGTGACACCTAGAAGTCCCTCTTTCTCAACTTTTTTCCAGCGTGGAGACTGAGTTTAAAAGCAAACAAAATAAAACCACCTGAGTTTTAAAGATCCTTTGTGGAAACTCCTGTATCCCTGTGCTGAAATTCTTGTTGTTGCTGCTAAGGGAGATAGTGGAAATCACAGCATTCCTTCCTGGCCAGGTTGGCTGAAAGAAAGTGGCTATGTGACCACCCCAAGAGGGTGTGTATCCTTGTTGGGGGTGGAGGACTGAGAAGCAACAACCAGCCAAGCTTCTGCCCTTGTTCTCAGTACTTTGAGGGAAGGCAAGGGTCAGTCAGTCAGAATGAGGCAACAGAGATTTCCCTGAAATAGCCCAATCGGTCCTACTCAGGGGGTGATTCAAACAAAAGATCAGCATACTGGAAGAGCTGGCAGTAAATGGATGGATTGGATTGGAGCTGAAATCCAGATTCCAAGACACAGAGGGACATTTTCACTATGGGATGGATAGAGAAAGAATCACTCCTTCTGGCCAACTCTTCTAGAAATTCTCCATGTGCTAGTCTTTCTCAACACCCTCCCCTAACACACACACACAGAGAGACAGACACACACACCTTCTTCCTCCTTCTCACTTCCTGTTTCCTCAGCTTCATCTCTTGGTCCTGCTGACAATCACTGTTAGTGCCAATCCTGCCCTACACACTGGTATGTGCTAAGACAAGGAGCAAATAACATAGCCCCTTCTTTAAGGGGTTTACAGAGGAGACAGCCAAATGATTTCTGAAATGCATGGCGTGCTTGTGTCCACGACAGAGATGGGCACAGCCTATTATTCTGAGAGCAGAGTACAGGCATCTAGTATAGCCCAGGAGAGGGCAGTGAGAGTCAAATACAGCTTCTCAAGGTACCCATGAAATGCATGATGAAGGATGATCAAGAGTTAGGAAAATAAACAAGAAGGCAAGGATGCTTCCTTCGGAGGAAACAGGGAAACTGGAAAGAAATGAATTAGTGTGAGTGGGTGAACTCGGCATAGAGAGTTGCCAAACCCTTAGAGGGGCTTTTAAATAAGAGCAGCTGCTTTTAGACATGGTATGTTTTTCATAGCAATAGGAGCCCTAACTAAGACAAGAAGGAAGTGGACAAGTAGTGTTCATTCAGTGAGTTGTGAGCAGGAATTGTGTGTAGTGTTTCAGAAGCAGAGCATCTAATTGCAGTGGCATCACATCCCACATTTCTTATTTCCCTCTGATTCAATAATCAGCAAGCTTCCCTGTAAGAGTGGTTTTGGTACCCAGGGTTGGGTTGATGTCCAACATCCGACCATGTATATCTACATAAGGCCTGAAAAAGCAAAAAAGAAAAAAGAAAAAGTTCTGAACAGGTGGCTTCCTAATGACCATGGTCTCTGAAGTAGACATACTGCAGCATGGCTCTTTAAAGAGACCCTAGTGCAGCTGAGTACTTGAGCAGCTAGCTTTGGGTACAAATACCTGCCACAGGAAGACACAACATTCCCTGAGCTGGGGCAGGCAAATGTGGCTCTGGGGTCAGTACTGGCCAAAGTGAGGCTAGGCTCTCATAGAACTGAGGGGAGCAGAGTAAGCCACCAGCATGTCATGTGCTAAGTGGTCCAAGGATGGTAGCCTAACCTTTTAAGTTTGGCTCACATGGTCAGAGGAAGCTGCAGACATGCAGAAAGTCAGATCCAGACCAAGAATAGATATAATATGTTCTGAAAAATGTGTATAGATACAGAAGAAAGAAAAGGAAATGGGTATAGACAGTTAAAGAAAAACAGTTTAAAAACAATAAAGTAAGGTGGTATTTTTTAAAAAGCCATGTAAGGATGGGAAATACACAGGGCATCTGGATCCTGTATAGTGCTTCACTGACTTAAAAATTTTCAAATGCTGATGAGTGAACAGCAGCTGCTAAGAGACATTGGATTATGTAAAGGACTGCTTAATTAAGCCACCCTATATACTTTAGAAATTTCTTGGCTTTGAAATGGAAGTCAGGAAGTGTGTTGCATTGGGAGAAAGGTTTTGCCTTTGTTTCTACGGCAGGGGGGGGGGTGATTAGTAGCGGTCAGATTTGATCATGAGAGACATGAAAATCTTAGCTACAAACATGAAAAAAGAAACCAACAAAGGCTACAGGAAAGGTGACAAATCTGCTGCTCACTCTACTATGGGAATAGCTCTGAGACTACGTGAAACATGATAAATCTTGGCTGTAGAGTCCTCATGACTTATTATTACATGCCAAATACTTAAAAAGACCACAGATGCCTTTTACCTGCTCCAACATTAAACAACAACAACAAATCACCTTTAACTGACTTGTTGGACATATATGTTACCTTTAAAAGTGTATGTGTCTTCAGGGGGAAAAAAAGGACACCAGTGAAGTCAAATAGCCCAGGTGATCCAGCCTCTCAGAATGCTTCTGTTGCAGTTTTCTCAAAATTCTGCATCTAGAACAGCTTCAAAGCTGCTAGCTGAAATGGTCCAGCCTCTCAGACTGCACAGCCAGCCAAGACTTCAGACAAGCTCTATATTTTCCTATCACACAGAGACTAAACAAAAAAAAAATAATAATAATACAGCTAGCTCTCCCAGAGCTTGACCATTATCCCATCTTTTACAGTCTCCTAATGATGCTGTCACTCCTAGACAACAGGAAACAGTCTAGAGAACAGGACACCCACATTCCCAAGAGGTGGGGTAGGTGGTTTTGGGTTATTTGTTAGGTTATGGGTGTTTGTCAATATTTAATGGAGTTGGTTACAAGTTGTTATTGGCCATGGTCATGGAAAACGCTGAACAGAGGAGATTAGATTCAAGAATCTCTTTCTGAATGGAAAAGGGAGGTATATAGTATAGTAATGATAAAAAGGTAGATTATTGAATCTACTTTTAAACTAAAAAATCCAAATTATTAGTATTAAATATTTTACATTGGTATGGATTTTTATTCACTGATACAACTTTTAGATTATTTTGTTATACTGTATTTATGTTTGTACTCTTGTTTAAGGTATTGTACCTATGCAGCTCACTTAAAAATGTAATGTAAAATTTAGGCCTTGAAAACTATTTCAGATAATAAATAAATACAGGTTATTAATTAGTTATAACAATAAAACATAGCCATGGCAGGTATGTTTCCAAAGTCAAACAGAAATATATTTTAAATAGATAGATGGTCTTCAAAGACTTCAAAGGCCTAAAGAATGTAGCATTTAAAATGTTTTAATAACATAAGGCTTTTCATGACAGTGAGACACACCTGCTCCTGGCAGCACCAATTTATTAAAAAAAAAAAAAAAGGATGATGACCATTGAAGAACCTCCAGCCTCCATATGGAATTTGCTTTCAATGTAACAAAGCTACCCATTTTGGACAAGAAACTGCCCTTGCCTTGACTGCTAACAGTATGCTATCCAAACTGGACAAGTAGAATATAAAAGAACATTGCTAAGACAAGATAGGATAGTCCTTCAACATTCTTGCTTTACTGAACAGTCTGTCAGATATTCTAGGCCTATGGGCTAAAGATAGATGCCTGAACATTACAGAGGAAACATGGGTGAATGTCTCTGTCATTTCTATAATTTTAGAAGTTGTTTGATCTACACTTTCTGTTTACTTGGGTAATAGTATATCCTTCCTGGGAATCTGATGGGGTTAAAGACTTTTATACTTTTCCTTATTACCAAATTCCAAAGAGAAACTTACATAAGAGATGTAAAGTTTATAAACTTGAGAAACATAAAAGCTTCAGTTGTTTAAGAAGATGTTTTAAGGTCTAAAAAGATTTTTAGAATGGTAGTAAAAGTTATGATAAAAATAGTTTAGATATAAAACTTTGGACATCAAGATAAGATAGGTCATAGAGTTATTTCTCAAAATTTGACAAATACAAATAGGCTAGACATTGTGAATTTAATTCTGACTTGAAATTGTTCTTATTGTATTTTTTGTATTGTATTGAATTTTACTGTATTTACCTTTTTATTTATCAAACAGGGGAAAATGTGAAATATTTGTACACTGTGTGAAAA